AAATCTACCGAACCGACAGCGAAACCGAAAACGACCGCAACCGACAGGCCGAAAGCAGCCCAGAGGGGTGCAACGACGCGGCAAGGGCACAATAACCTACAAAACCGAACCGACCGAACGCAATCGACTGAGACGCAAGCGAACTGACCGAAGCATGAACACCCCTGCCCTCTCTGCTCCTGCCTCCTCGTTCCTCACACCGTCCAACCTTCCTCCCTCCTCGTTGCCATCCCCAATCTCCTCAAGGAGGGAGGAGGCGTGCGAGGAGGGCGAGGAGGACGGTGGGATGGGAGAGGAGTATTGGCACAAAGGGGCGGTGAGGAGGGAGATGGGAAGAATCGGGGAAGACTGGGGCATTTCTCACCCCCTCCGCCTCCCAGGGAAAAGAGAACTATTAGAAGCACGAGAAGACAGAGTAAACCTTGCGGGCGGGGAAGATGCGTCTCAACGATGAGTTGGTTTCAGCAGCGCAGAGTTGTGTTACGCAGTGTCAGCAGCGCAGTGTCAACAGCCCAGTGTCAACAGCGCAGTGTCAACAGCACAGTGTCAACAGAGCAGTGCCAACAACACAGTGTCAACTGAGCGGTATGATCATCGCAGTCTCAAAATCGCAGTGTACAAACTACTGCTTTGATGACGCTGTGCTCTGGTCTCGGCTGAAGGCAAACCTCCTTTGTGAATCCTACTCCTGCAAATCAAATGTCTGAAACGCTGGCTGGGGGTCAGAATCCGGAGGATGTCTGCAGCCAAGTGAACCCAGGCGAGTGTGTCCGAACCCGCAACGCAACTGGTCGCAGACTCCTCCTCCTTCTCCTCTTCTCCTCCGTGTCTCCTTCTTCTGCACAGCACAATGGCGAAGTCGCAATGCCAACAATGCAAAGTCAACATATCAATGTCACGATTCCAACGTCAACAACGCAATGTCAACAGGTTGACACAGCTCCGCGTGAGGCACCTCTTGCTCTCATTTCTTCTTCTCATACACAACACAGCGTAACCATAAATGACGGGTCAACAGAGCAGTGTCACCCGCGCAGTGCGAACTGCGCAGTGTCGAGAACGCACTGCCAACAACACGATGACAACACCGCGGTGTCCAACCACTGCGCTCTTGACACTGGGCTGTGAACACAGCTCATGGTAAGGTTCCTCATCAACCTCCTCCTCCTTCTCTCTTTCCCATCCTCATGCACAGCGCCGTGTCGAGAGTGCAGTACCAACGATGCAGTGTCAACAGCGCAGAGTCAACAAAGAAGCGCCAACAGCGCAGTGTCAACAACACAGTGTCAAGACCCAATTGTCAATATCGCAGTGTCGAAACACTACGCTGCTGAGCCTTCGCTCTGGACACAACTCATGGTTAGCCCTCTCCTCCTCCTCCGCCTCCTGCTCCTGCCCCTGCTTCTGTTCCCCCTCCTCCTCCCCCAGTTTCTCCTCCTTTCCTCCTCTTGTTCATGTCCTCCTGCGCAGCGCCGTGTCGACAGCCCACTGCAAACAACACCACACCATCAGCGCAGTGTCAACAGCGCAGCATCAACAACGCAGTGTCAACTGCGCAGTGTCAACAATGCACTGTCACTAACGCATGTTCAGCATGAAAATGACGAACCACTGCGCGATGGACACGGCTCAATGCTGGCATCCTCCCCCTCTTCGTCCTCCTCTCGTTCCTCTACTGTGTTGACAACGCAATGTCAACAATGAAACGTCAGGAACGCAGAGCCATCAACGCAGTATCAACTGCGTAGTGCCAATGGCGCAGTGTTAACAACGCAGTGTCGAAGCACGGCGCTGTTGACACTGCGCTGCCGAAACACACCTGGGTACCCTCATCTTACACCTCATGTCTTCCCTTTGCTCCTGCACAACGCAATGTCGAAAGAACAATGTGAACAACGCAGTGCCGACAATGAGGTTCCAATAACGCGGTGTCGAAACAATGCGCTATTGGCACTGCGCTTTGGACACAACCCCTGGTTTCCCTCATCATCCTACCGGTCAATCCCCCTCCTGCTCAGCGCAATATCGACAACGCAGGGTTAACAACGCAATGTCAACAGCGCATTTTCCAGCGCAACGTCAACAGCGCAGTGCCGACAACTCAGTGTCAACAGCGTAGTGTCGAAACACTGCGCTG